CACAAACCAATCTGTATCAGTGGTGGTGCATAAAACAACTCTTGGCAAAAGGTTTCAGATTACATTAAAGATCCTGAAATACTGCTGAAATATTAAGAATGTTGAAAGAAAATCCATAAATGCCCTTTTAATGCTTTGATGGTATACTTTAATGCAATGGTCTACCACCTTTAAGTTAATAACTGTATAGAGGGAGGGAGGTGTGAGGCCTTTGATGGTTTTTCTTTTTTAATACATTACTTTTTTCCAAGGGAGAGGAGAACTTCCATTTCGCACCAAAACTGTTCACTCACAATAGGGCTATAAATTCTGGACTTTTTTTTTTTTTTTTAAAAACATGCTTTAACCAGTGTTTTTCTTTCTCTTTAAAATATAGCAACTTTTTCAGAATTTTATGAGGGTTACATTTAATATTGAGTGCCTCATGCACAACTTTATTTGCTCATAAATATATGCTCAGTCTCTCTCTCTCTCTCTCTTTCCATCTAACAATGTGGAGAACCTAAATGGGTGTTCATATTGGTATAACTGGGGGGGGGGGGAACTGAACTGAAAAGAGAGTGAAATGCATTTAATACAAGTCCTTTTCAGATGTTCTTTGCAGGTGATTGAAGAAACAAGTGACAAGCACTGCTCCCAAACTGGTATGTATCTGGTTCCTTTCATTAGTTTGTTTTCTGCAGTTCCAGAGAATAGGACCTGGATCAATGATTCAAACTATAGGTAAAGAGATTCCGCTTTAACATTAGGAAGAACTTCCTGGCAATAAGACCTGTTTAACAACGGAATACACTGCCTCTGCATGTGGTGGATCCTCCTTTTTTGGAGATCTTTAAACAGAGGTTGAATGGCCATCTGTTGGTGATGCTTTGACTGTGTATTCCTGGATGGCAGGGTGTTGGATTGGATGGCCCTTGGGGGTCTCTTCTAACTCTATGATTCTATGATTAATGTGATTGCAGGAAGAATGAGGCTCATGCAATAATCTCCTGTGTTGCAATCATGACACCATTGCCACAATCTTAATTTCCTCCCAACCTATTTTACTCGTCATCAGCTGCATGAGGAGCAAAAAGTCCCTTCTGCCAGTCTGGTGAATGATGTTTTTTTGTTGGATTTGGGTAGGAGGATCAGGTCAAGAGAGATTACTTAATTATGCATACTTTACTAGATAGCTGTTACAGAATACAGGACAAGATAATTTAGCAAACATATTTAATATTTTATTTAATATATAATTTTTGGTTGTTGTTTTATGTTTCTATATAGATCATAAGCCAAACTGACCACCTTTGAAGAAGGGTGGGGCATGGGTTCTGTTATCACTATCTAAGAAAGAAAGGAAAGGAAAGGCATCTATTAAACCTTCAAAAGGACTATAGCAGGGGTAGGCAACCTTTCCCCTTTAAGGGCCGAGGGACTTCAGCTCCCAGAAGCCTCAGCCAGGTTGGCCAATAGCCACATGTTGGCCAATAGCTCCTGGGATTCTGGGAGCTGAAGTCCCTCGGCCCTTAAAGGGGAAAGGTTGCCTACCCCTGGACTATAGCATGCCAGTGATACATATGATTAAATCGGAACAATTCCAGTTAAATAGAGTTTTCTGGGGTGTATGCTTCAGCCTTCCTACTGCAATACAGTTGTGGCACTGAAACACTAGTGTTTCAACATTACCTTACAAAATGTACAATTCTCAGAGGCAGTTTGCTGACTCATCTAATCTTACCATTATGCTGCAGATTGAGTTCAAAACAGTCAACCTTTCCCACTTGCATTTCATTGAAGGGAGCCTACTTTTCAATAGGAATCTTTCCCATGGGTGCCAATGGCTGCAATAAATCCTATTTGACATTGTCACTTTTGGGGAGGAACTTATTGATGGCTTTCTCAATGCTGAAGAGTACTAAATATTTCATGCAGGTTTTAACACTGAAGACTGTGGGTTGCTTTGTGAACTATTCTCCCAACAGTGCTATGGGAGCCCTTATTAAGAACATTTGTTACACTGAGAAAGGGATCAAATTTTCCCTCACCTTTTCGACACTGGAGTTCAAAAGTCTCCTGTAGGTCAAAGCAGAAATGAGGCCAAGAAAACCAACTGTAACCCTCTGTGAAGGGTTGATTCATTCTGATATTTCTCTCTATCTGCCACCCACCTTCCATCTCTCCTTCCCTCTCAACCTAGAAAGCTAACAGAGTCCATCAGAAGCTATTACATTTTAAAAAAGAATAATTTGAATAATTACATTTGTTAAATATATAGATGTAAAAACTGGGAGGTTCTCTACTTTCTTTTGTAGTATCACATGGTGAAAGAAATCAAAAGTTGATAAGTGTTGATTGACTAAAATTCATGTGAATAATCAAGATATTTTACTAATGTGACAGCTTTAGCAAAGATTTAATTGATTTTAATAAAATTCATTGTTCTCAATTTAAATACATTAATGCATGCATATCACATACAGCCTTTATCATAGAAAATACATTCCCATTGCTGGTAGTGGTGATGATGGTGGTTAGGTTCCATAAGTTGGCCTCTAATTATAGCAACCCTATGAATGAGGAACCTACAGTGCTGCTCACATCTTGCATACTCAAAACTATAGCTTCCTTGATGAAGTTACTCCAGCTGTAATGTGGCTTTCCTATTTTCCTATTTCCTGCAGCTTTACTTAATGCGATAATCTTTTCCAATGAGTCATATTGTCTCATGATATGGCCCAATTATAATATCCCGATTCTGTTCATTTGGCTTTATGGGATAGTTCAGACTTGATTTGCTTGCCTCAGTGAAATTAGTGGAGAAATTAATGGAGGAGAGGTCTAGGACCCTCCATGTTCAGGAGACACATGCTATTAAATAACAATTATTGGGAATCAACAGCAACTATGATCTATTGCTTTATTTGTTATGGTCATTTCATTTTGGTTTCTAGTGGGAATTAAGGGTTGATTTGCTCTAGGACCTATTGTCTAGCAGACTCCCTGACCGAGCTGATGCAACTGGTCTCTGAGC